CGGAGGATGGTGATGCTGCCAGTCACCTTGAGACCACATAAGGAGTTTTCTTTACTCTCTATCCTCTTTTGTTTTTATGTTGCTAAGCATTGAGGACAATGCTTATTCTTATTCTGGGGTGGTGGTCTATACTGTGATGACATTTGATTACATTTGGGCCTCTAATAACTTTAATACTCTTTTTCTTTTATCTTTATTTTTATTTTGTCCCTTATTATGTATATATTCATCCTACTTGTATATATTCTATTCATCTCGGTTCATATATTCAGTTGCCTTACTTTCAGTATTTTATTTCATAGCTTCTTCAATTTGTTTTCTTAATAGTATAGCTTCTTAGTTACTTTATTAGCTTCTTTTTTATTTGTTAGCTTCTTTTTATGTTTTAGTGAACAATAAGCCTTTGATTTTCTTTATGCTACGGTTCTTTCCAAAGGTGGGTCTTGTGTGAACCGGGTGACTTTTCCCAACGATAGATGGCGTGATGGATTTCTTAAAGGATCGAGTCAGTTTTTGATGATTAAGTAGAAACAAGTAGTACTAATGAATAAATAAGGGTCAAGCATGCTTCACTTGGTACCAACACACTTAACTATGCGCTTATGGTTAAAAATAAGTTTTTGTAAAGAATAGCCCTAGTTAGTGACCTTGTGACTCTTGTGTTGACTTAGGCAATCATCGGGTGGTTTAGTTGAACCATTAGCGATTTTCAATCTTGAATGTAGTTGTTGTGGGCTCTCAACTCTATTCTCTTTGACAATCCGGTTGTGTGATAGGTGAGGTATTTTGTTACAAGTCCAAGTACCCGTACGAGTGGTCTAGAACTTGCCCCGAATGTGTTTCTAGGCGAAATTCTAAGTTAGCCTGAATTGAGAAGTGATTGTAGGATTTTCTTGACCCGTTTTGAAACCTTTCATGGCCCACCAATGATATCATCCTTCGTAAACCCTTTTGAGCCTAAAGCCTTTTTATTCGATAATCACATTACAAGTCTTTACCCGTTTTATAGTGATTTTCTCTTGGCACCCGAACTTTCTTTAGAACTCATGTGATTCAAATGGAAAAAATATAAGTTTGGGGGAGAGAAGAGGAGTTTAAAGATGGTCTCAAGACACACAAAAAAAGAGAAAAGAAATAAAGATGAGGAAAGGCAAAGAAAAACACAAAAAGAAAGTGAATAATGTGAAAGGGTTGAAAAGATGCAAAAGAAAGCAAAAGTTCAAAGCATGGACAACAAAGAAAGAAAGTATGAATAGCATGGCAAAGAAAGAGTGATGTCAAGTCCTTTAATCCCCCTAAGGGAAAAGAAAATGACTCAAAGAGTCGGCAAAGTAAGAGCCAAAAAGAGAATATGAAGTGCTAAAGGGAAGATGAACCAATTCCATTCTGATATTTCCCACCTTAGTCCAAAAGCCTTCATTACATGCTGAAAAATCCCTATGTGATTTCAAGCCAAGCGAGCTTTCATTAGTGGTGATCTACATGAGAGATAAGCATATGGTACTTAGAGCTGAGCTTGTGACATTCTTTTGAGAGTGATGAGTGAATCTTTCTCGAGTCATTGAATTGAATTCTTCATTCGTGAGTGAGATGAGCTTCCAGAGAGTATAGGAGGAGGAGTTTGGGATCCACGGTGACCTGCATGAAAGTGCGAGCTTCCTTGATGAACAAAGTCAACCCTTGATGCTCAAGCGTCACATTCAAGCCATTTGTGCTTTAATATTCAATTCATAGGCTTGTTAATGATTCATGAGCGTGTGGGTAATTGTTGGTCCCAATTGATTTGTGTTTGACTCAACTTAGGCCAGCTAAAATAGCCCTTTTCTAGTGGAGGTGGAAAATTGCCTTAATTGCTTGAGGACAAGCAAAAGCTTAAGTTTGGGAGAGTTGATAAGTAGGGATTTTGACCGCTTATTTACTCTCTTTTACTTATGTTTTAGCTCAAAAATCCTTAAAGGTATTCCCGAGAACTAATGAAATGTGCTTTCTTGCATGAATATTGAGAAACGAGCCAAAGAAGTGAAAATCAACTCAAAAAGGAGTAAAATTGGACAACAACCAAAAAGGGCTACAGTGCAGACCGCACAATATTGTGTGCGACCGCAAACTCTGAAGAGGCTCTGATAGGTTTTATTCATAGAGTGTGAACCACACAATTATTGTGCGGCCGTAGAAGACTAGATTCAGAGAGCTGAAGTTTAGGAGCTTGAAGATGTGCGGACCGCACTATTATTGTGCGGCCGCAGGATGCCAAAATGCGGCTGCACTCATAAATGTGCGGTCTGCAGAATGGAACCCTGATCCACTCCAAGAGCAAGAGTGCGGCCACACTCAGAAATGTGTGGTCCGCACAATGAGAGAAAGTGCTGCCGCATCTCACTTTTATGCGACTGCAGAAAGCCATACCCACCAGTCAGTCTCAAAGTACGGACCGCACACAGAATTGTGCGGCCGCACAACCTTCGCATGAGCAATTTTGTCAAATATTTTCAGTTGGGTATAAATAGATCTTTTTGTTATTTTTAGGTTAGGTTTTGGTGCACCTGAACATTCAGAGTCGTTTTTATTTACTGTATTGAGCAACTTTGTAGTAGTTTAGCATTTAAACATTAGATTTTCTTTCCTTAATCAATTATTATGCATTTTATCTTAGTTTCTTCTTTAATTTCTTCATTTTTCATGAGTAGCTAAACCCTTAGCTAGGGTTGTCACCCAACCCTAGTATCGGTACTTAATGGGTGATTTATTTAGGGCTTATTTGTGATTGGGTATATGAATTTTAGCCTAGTTATTGCTTGATTTTGAGAATTGATGGTTGCAAATATTGATTCATGCCTAATTGACTTAGTCTCCACTTGAAGAAGTGAGACTAAGTCTAGAAAAATTTGGCTAACAAGAAATTGGGATGAACTCAAGAAATTGATAACTCCAATTAAAGGGTCTAATCTAGAGATAGTAAGACCCGACTTGAGCAATTATCACTTGTTTCGTGAGATACCCATTTGGACTTGAGAAAGCCGAATTGGGTAAAATCACTCAAACTACCGAGAGGTATAAAGTGAGTAATTACGTGTGATTGTTATATTGTATCCCGATCAACCAAACATGCCCTAAAGCTATAAATCCGTTAGGTAACCGACTAGGCGGAAGTCGCAACCCTAGATCTTTTATAACTTGAAAAACAACCAAAACCAAAAATATTGTCTCTTAACTTTACAATTGCTAGTATTAGCGTAAAAGTAGAAGTAGAAACAACAATTGATAATGTGAAAGTGTAATCTTAGGTACATCATACATTCACACTAAATATATACCTAATCCCACATCAAGCTCCCTGTGAAATCGACCCCGACTCGCGTTGAATTTTTATTATTGCATCGACCGCCTCGCAACCTAAATTAGTGGTATGAGTTTGGGAGACATCAGGCAGGTGTACGCAGGTGAAGATACTATGAGGGGGCGGGGCGGGTTGAGATCTTCACGGTTTTATGCAAGTTTGCCCCGTAACCATACCGCACCGCTTGCCATCCTTATAATGTGGTATGATGAGATATCACGCACACTTCTTAAGGTCTAGGTTAACTTTCATCCAACGATTATGCTAGGAAATGCATATCGTATACATATTTGATTAACTAGTGCATATAGGCATTTCAATTTATCACTCGACTATATAAGTTACTGTAATTTTGTGAAATATCGGGTGTAGATAGTAAAATGCTCCTTATCCATTAATAGTACAGTGAAGTTCCCATCATCTTTGGTTATCGTTCACAATATGTAGTTAAATAAATTAATACATCATTTATCCTTTATTGAATTGAAAAGATACTGATAATAATCAATGAAATACAAAAATTTACTAAGATATTAAGATCCTTTATTGACCTACATGTGTTGTGTTTTGACCATTATTTTTTTTTTTTTTGATAATAAATGTGAATATATTACCATAACAAACCAACATTTTAATGCAGCCCAGGTTACACTAATATAACCAAAAGGACCTTCCCTATCATCTTTGTCCTCCTTCTAATACATTCCAACAGAAAAAGAACTAACGAAAAAACACATTGTTTTGTCCTCTATGCTATTTATATATATGTTGAATCAAAGAAATACATTACCGCGCCTTCTTTATTGTTTGTAAGTCTTCCGGCCTTGCTGTGATGCCACTAGATCTGTATTTACACCTGTACCTCTAAAAAAATTCCAATTTCTTGCTTTCCACGTATGCTGTATCAGTGCTCCCCATATAGCCGAGGCCACTTCCTTGTTCATTTGCTTCCACTTCCTATTTTTCAACCAGTGCAGTGTTTGAATCACCCCTTTACCCTCTAATTGTATACCCGACCATGTGCTAAGTTGATCCCTCACTGTTGTAACCCATGAACACTCCATGAACAAGTGTGTTTGCGTTTCTGTTGCTGCAGTATCACATAGTTGACAAACAACAAATGCCATCATCAACTGGGATATGAAACCTTTGTAATCTCTCCTTGATAAGAAGTCTATCTTGGTATGCAAGCCATACTATAAGTTTATGCCTTGGCATCATTGCTTTAGTCCATATCAAGTCAGCTTCTTTTATTTTGGTTAAGTCTGTTAACATTGTATTATAGCTCCTTGTCACATAATATTCTCCATTAGTAGTTAGTGTATACCTACCATTCTGATTCCACCCTGCCATATTACCTTTTAGTGCATTTAGCTTCCTCCAATACTAGCTGATGTCTTGTGGTGGAGTATGCCCCGTATGGTTCCATCTTGTTTTGACCATTGTTGTAACCTCAAAACCTTGTTCTTTCTTCCAACGCAACGCAAGAATTAGAACTTCTGAGTGAAGTCACGAATTAACTAATCATTTAATTAATTGCTTAACAAGGAATTATGTGTGTGCCTTTTAGTTTCTTTTTTTTTTTAATTATATAAATATAGTTTGTCTTTTAAATTAGCAAGTTAGCAAGTCCGGGGACCCATACCCATACACCAAACACCGCTCCAACTCTCCTTAGATCCAACCCGTAAAATAAATTCCATTTCCCACCAACCTCCGGCGGCAAGTGAAAGCAGCAGAATGAAAGCGACACGTGGCTGCAAACTCTCCTTCCACGTCACCATCGTCTCAGCGGCAATTGCATACATTTACTACTCCACTGTGTTTGTGTTCATTGATCAGTGGTTGGGACTCTGGGTCGGGTTCTCACCTCCTTCCTACCCGATGTCGAAGACCCGGATAACACCGTTCAAGAGATCAAACGAAAGGTTTTGTTCGTTTTTTAACCTTTTTACTTTACTTTAATTTATGTGTACACGTATGTTCTTCTTGCATTTGTATGTATGCTTGTATATCTTGATACTGGAGCTTATAAGTGGAGAATTGGAATGGATAGAGAGGATCATACAGCTGAGGCATACTAGTTTGGGATTGGCGCATAGTAATAATTGTAGCTTTATATAGTTTGAAATAAAGGGGCCGCACCTAAGGGTGTGGCCTATGGTCACTGAAGTGGGGAGAGAGAACCATGAGGTTGCAGACGGAGGCAAAAAATACGATTTTTTTCCATCTACCTAAGCTTTGGTGGCAAAATTACCATGTACCTGTGTGATGGGAGGTAGCAGCTACCAGAGGAATAATCGAAATCCGCACAAGCTAGCCCAAACACCACCGTCATAAAAAAAAAAATGATAATAAGGTAGAGGAGAATGGACACGTGTTTGACCAAAAAGTATAACTTTCGATTAAACTATTAAATTTATGTAATAATAAGTTAAATCTAGTTAAGTATAATAACTCTATATGCTAATCTCGAAAACGTGCAGGATATGAGGGCAGATCTCGTAAATTATTGATGACAATAAGTGTAAAATACCCTTAAAGCATGAACATTGATGGAGATATAATTAACAATAAATGGTAATAAATGACATTTAAGTAAATAAGGAGAATGACTCACCCAATAATGGAAGGATTGAACGAATATTTCTCCTGACAATGATAAGTGGCAGAAAGGTCCAAGATTCGTATGAACAATCCTCGGATCTGGTGGAAAGGTGGGGAATAATATGAGCAAGAATCTTTATCAAAAGGTAATCTTTGTATTTTTACAAGAGAGAATCTTATTCTTAAAAGTGTTCTTATAAAAAAAAATTACATGCCCCTATCATTGTCTCTTCTTTCTATATATATGGTTTCTATATATATGGGGCATTTTCCTAGGAAACCCTAATAGTACAAATGCAGAGAATATCCACTAAAATATTCCCTTTTAATATCCTATCCTGACAAATTAGTCGTTACAACTCCTATCATCAATAGTCAACCTCGACCTCGACCCTTGTTGACATCTCGACTACGGCTCTTGTCGGCACCTCGGCCAATGACTTTGCTGCATCTTGGGCGACCTCGACCGACTCTTTCCTCAATGCCATATTACACTAAATATCCTTACGGCAGATTTTGGCTTATACAACATGTATCTGGCATTAGGTGATCGCGTTTTCGAGATAGGTTTCAATTTACTTTGTCGTGTTTTTACATTTATTGGCAATTCCATATGCTTGGATAGCACCAAGGAAATGTTTGTCACGTAACAAGAATTTCAAAAAGAAGTAAAATTCCTTTTGAGCTTTCTGTTTGACCTCGTGGATGGGTATATTAAGTTAAAGTTTACTTTTCTATGGTTTCTTTTCTTTTTTGGTTTTTTTATGTTCCTCATAGTATTATATCCGATATTGGGCACTTGTTGGATGTGAACTAGTTAATACCACATTGAACGATCATCAGGTTGTGCATTCCTAGAAATGACATGGTAAATTTGTATTACTGCAGTGCACCATTTACAGAGAATGGCATTAACATTTGAAGCAAATAGTTTAGAAGCATTAATCGGTAATTATTATGATATAAACTTATGATGTTCATGCTTATGATACAAATACGTCCCCAGGACTAGAATAACAATTAGCAAGGGCAAGGCAAACAAAACCTGAAGGTAATGAATCTACTATTGCTGAAAATTTTCTGTTGGATGCTTGTGTGTGTGTGTG